TCAAGTTACGGACTTGGTGTGGGGCTTTGGCCCAACAAAAGGGAATGGAATTAATGAGTTATGAGGACACTTAGTCAAGGGAGTAATGTTGGGTATTAACCTAGTAATTATTATTATGTGACAGTTCGGGATTCCCGGTGAGACAGCAGTCAGAGATTTGCAGTATTTCAGCACTACTTGCGAGGTGAGTTATAATCACTATACTAAGGGGTCTAAGGCACCAAGGCCGACCCATTATGTGATCTGTAGGACTACCTGTAGCATTATGTGATCTTCTGTATGTGCATTAGTTGTATTATATGTCGACATATTACGTGAGGTGGGTTGAGGTGATACTGCTCCGTGCGGTAACCAACAAACGCAGGAGCATTCCAGATACGAGCTGAGGGCCAGGTGGGGCATGCCAAACTCGTACTGTGGGCTCGGGAGCATTCCAGATACGAGCTGAGCGAGACTCGTACTGTGGGCTCGGTGGCAATCCAGATGTGAGCTGTGGGCCCGGAAGACAATCCAGACTCACACTGCGGGCCCAGGGGTAATCCAGACGGTAAAGCTGTGGACCCAGTGCATGTTGTTATTTGTATATGTGTTATGTGCAGTGTATCGGTATTTTGGGGGAACTCACTAAGCCTCGGGCTTACAGTTTCAGTTTATTGTTTCAGGTACATCAGGGGATCGCGGCAAGGCGAAGGCGTGATCGTACAGCTCCTCATGTTTTGTTTATGTTTCTGGGAAAACTCTGATATTAAACATTTTGAAAACAAGTTGTAATGATTTAATGGTTTTGAAATACTTTAAAAAGTTCAAATTCGGCATGATTTTTTTATGGATGTTACAGATTATATCAGAATTGACAACTATTGTACAGATGTATAAATAATTTTGGAGAGTCAAATTAAAAAATCAAAGATTTTGGTAAAAAAAATTCTAAAAAATTAACTTATTTATAGATAAATTTTGATTTAAATTCTAATTAGAATCCTTGATTGAAAATCATTTATACAATCATAAATCATTTGAATCTAACCCCATCTTTCACACATTTTTACTACAAGAAAACATATAAATAAAGAAAATATAAGGGATAATGGCTTAAAAGGATAATATATTTTTCAATTTGTGCATATTTAGTCACTGAGTTTTTTTTCGTCCACATTACCTCTTCAACTTGTTAAACTGTACACATTCAGTCCTTATAACCGGCTATTCCAAGTTAGCCGGTAAAAATGAATTAATATAGTAATATATTTCTCACTTTGTACACATTTAGTCCTTAATATTTTTGTACACATTTAGCCATTTATATATATATATATATATATATATATATATATATATATATATATATATATATATTGCAAAATAAGTCATTTTTGTTTTTGTACTTATTCTGTACTTATGAATGATTTCTTTAGATTTTTATCACGAAATCTTACGTTAGACATTCGTTAATGAGGTGTTTGAGGCTTTTGATGCTTATTTTCATCGCAATCTCGACTAATTGGTTGATTAGGTCATGTGTTTTGAACGTCATAACTTCTTCATACGATCTCAGATTTTAACGATCTTTATATACATGCGTTCATATTTTAGTCTACTACAATTTTCATTTAGATTACTTCCATTAAAAAATAATATTTTTTTACTTACGATTTTTATATCCATACGTAGGGGCGTATTTAGCCTGGTCACGATGTTACACCGGCAACACCTGTTTTTCTGTCCACAGTGGAAAAAATTTTGATTTTTTTTCGTTTATACCTATTTTTCATATATCGGCAACACCTACTATGTATTCATGCGTCCGCCCCTGTCCAAACTTTTTTTATGAATGCATGTATGAATGTTATTATTATTTTTTTTATATAAAATCGTAAGTAAAAAATATTACATTTTAACGGGAGTAATCTTAGTGAAAGTTGTAGTAGACTCAAAAAATGAACACGTGGATATAAAGATCGTTAAAATATGATATCGTATGAAGAAGTTTCAACGTTCAAAATACAAGACCTACTCAACCAAGCAGTCGAGATCGCGTTGGAGATAAGCATCAACAACCCTAAACGCCTCATCAATGATTGTCCCACGTAAGATGTCGTGAGAAAAAACTTAAAGAAATCATTAATAAGTACTGAATTAGTACAAAAAAATGTTAAAGACTAAATATGTACAAAAATATTAAGGACTAAATGTGTACAAAATGAAAAATATATTATCCTATTAAGTCATTTTTCCTGGCTAACCTGGAGTAACCGGTCATAAAGACTGAATGTGTACAGTTTAACAAGTTGAAGGGGTACATATGGACGAAAAAAAAAAATCAGTGATCAAATATGTACAAATCGAAAAATACATAACCCATTTAAGTCATTATCCCAAAATATAATATAGGTTTAAGAAAAGCAGTTGCCGGTATGAACATAACAAACGTCGTAGTCACCTTTCTCCTTTCCCCCATTTTTTCGCTTCCCCACCAAATAAAAGTAACCCCACGGTTTGGAAAGAAAAAAAATACTGGTTGCAACTTTTTGACTCTTTTATATCATAAGTAATCGAATACATTATTTACTTTATTTTTGTTGAGAGATAATTCATTAAAATTTTGATATATACATAAATAGGTCATCTAAGATGTCAACTATTTTAAAAATATCATCAAACTTTCAAATTAATATCATTTACGTCAAATATGTCATGAAAAAAATATTTTTTACTATTCCTTTTCAATTCTAAATCTGAATTTCGTAAACGAAAAACAATACAAAATTCAGATGCATCTCTATTAAATATATCAAAATCATACGATTGATATGAAATTAAGATTTGTACACATATCTAATATTCTAATATAAATAAATAAATAAGAGCAAAACAAAACTTTTCCCATCTTCCTGATTACCAGCCTCTCTTAAGTCGATTTTTTTTTTTTTTTTTTTGAGAAACTTATTAATCCAACCAAATGTCTTAACGATTTTCTATTTAAGACCCAACAATTAGTCAATATCTCATTTTAGCCGTCCAAACCGTAGCTGAGGTAAACCCACCTACGGTTTTCATACTCAGTTGCAGTTTTCATACTCAGTTGCGGTTTCGCATGATTATAAGAAAAATAAATCATTTTTTCTTGACAAAACCGTATGCGGCATAAGTTACCTGCGGTATGCTCTCACTCGATTGTGATTTTCTTTGGACGGACAAGTTGCAGACCATTGAAAATAATTGCAATTTCAAAAACGAAATAGCAGGTGACTAAGAACTCAACTACTATTTCATTCCTAAACTGTTATTTCGTTTCTTGGCATTCAAACGCTATTTTGTTCAAAGTGCTGAATCAAACCTAAAATTATACAACATAATCAAGGGATATCACTAAACAAGGTAAAAAAACAAAACATAATAATAAAACAAATCAGAAAAAATGAAAAAATATATATATTTTTTTTAGGAAAACCGCATATGGCATGTTCATCTGTGGTGTATAAGGCTAAGCGGAGTGACACTCGCCAAAGCCACTTGCTTAGCTCTCCATTGATGTAGAACACCACCCCCTAGCTCTCGCTAGGGGGCTCGCCAAAGTAGAGTCGCAGTTCTCATAGCGTGAAGAGTTAGAATATTTACTTCACAGATTTCAATTGTTTTTATATATCTTTTCTAATTTACTCCCTTTCACTTAGATACAAATTACAAAATACACCCTCCAATAATTTCATTATCTATTTCAAATATATAAATGAAATTGTATGTTAATAATCTTAATAGTTATACGGTTTGCAATGTTTACTTTTATTGTTATGTAGGCTAGTATTGGTTTATTTTCTTAAAAATATATATAGATCTTAAATAAAGAATGTTTGTTTATTAAAATATAGTAATTAAATTAAATTAGAAAAAGAAAAATATAAAAATAGAGTGCTAGGAGTGTTACTACTCCCCATCAAATGTTAAGTTTAGATGCTAAAGGGAGAAAAATGAAGTGGCACTTAAAAACTAATGTGGCAAGGTGCTAAAAGTGTTACCACTCCCCTTAGCCTAATGCACAATATGTGCATCAAGGACTTATAAACTGCAGATGGCATGTTCATCTACGGTTTGGGTAAAAAAAATCATTTTTTCCCACAAATCCAAACCTAATACTACTAGATTTCTATGTAAATAATAAAAAACTGATAAAATTCGAGCTATAAGAGTGTTAACCTAATTGTTGTTAACATTCGCCATTAGAGAGAATTCTATATGCTTGCAAACCCGAAAATGTTCTAAATGATGTTTTTATATATTATGGGCTATCGGCCGCAACACAACAACAGAATGGCTGCGAAACCGTAGCCCAAATGTCCAATACCGCACTTGGGCATGTCCGAAATCACAAAACCGTAGATGAGATACTCAAACCTGAAACCACAATTGACTTAATCTCGGGAGCGGTTTAGATGGCTAAAGTGAGATATTCGCTCATTTTTGTGAAAAATCATTAATACATTTAGCTATATTAGTAATTTTATTTTTTTAATTTTACTTTTAACACAATTTTTAATGTTTTATTTTAATATTTTTCAAATAAATGGAAAAATCAAATTTGGTTTGTACTTTCTTTCAACTTTTCAACTACTTTCTACTTTGTTCAAGGAATCATGGGCTCATGGCTTCACTTTCCATCACTTACCTTAAAACACCACCAACTGTCAATCCTGCTGCAAAGTGGTCCTCCAAATCTGATTCCTTTATATTTTTAATATATAATCATATATTAAATAATATTTTATCTAAACAATTTATAAACATCTTCTTAATCTTTTCAATCGATCATCAAGCGTTATCTTTTCCTTGAATTTTACACCACCAAATGATTCCCGTGTTGATTCGAGTCGGTGTATCTCATAAATAAAGACTCAAATCAACACTAAAAGCATACAAAAGGTAACAACACAAAAACACTAAAAGTAGTAGTACTAATGTAATTACATAAGTTGAAGTACAATACATGGAAAATTATACTAAGGCTATGCAAATATAATTTGTGCACTAGAAGGTGTTAGGTCAGAGAAAACCTCTAGGGCTTCCACGACCTGCCATTGGACTGCAAACTTTATATTTTCATCGGTTGAACTGCTGTTCAACCGATGAATAACACCAACCGCAACAAAAAGGTCTCGACCCGTAACATAAATTCTATCATTGCAGCCGTTCACCACGAACGGCTTGCAAATTTGCTCGGGTAAGGGAGGCCCTTTGATGGTTTCCCATGTATCATGACTTGAGTCATAAACCTTAAGTTTTGTCCTCTCATGCTCCGATACTACAAACAAACGCCCGTATATCACAACACTTGACCCGGTCCACCCTTCACGGAGCCCCGTTGCCATGGATTCCCAATGATCGGTTCTTGGATCATAAACTTGGCCACGTGGCACAACATAAAATGGCCAAAACCATCCTTCGGTTACAAAAAGCTTCCCATCAAGAACAGCTGAATCATAACAGGCCATGTTTGTGCCCATATTTGCAATCGGATGCCATACACCTCCTTTTGGATCCATAACCTCAGCTGAACTGAGCTCAAACTGATCACTACTGTTCCCTCCGGCGACATAAACCTTCCCGGCGATCACACCTCCGGCGAAAAACGACCTTGGAGTCATCATCTTCTTCATAACAGTCCAATGATTTGATTTCACATCAAATTTCAACACCAAGTTAAGAGGGCAGTCTACGTCGGAGGCCACCCCACCACAGACAAACAGCGAACCATTCTTGGAGACGGAAAAGCACCGGAACCCATGTGGACAGACCTTCTCCATGCATGGCATTGCTGGAATCGTGTGCCATGAGAGATGAATGAGATCAAGAACCTGCCATTGAATCTTTCCTGTACGTTTATGGAAGGAAAACACAAACATCCATGGATCTTGAAAACCCATTTGCTTCCTTAGCGTAAAGAACCGACCTTTATCACCGAAAAGATTATACCACCGCCGGCAAACAGTCCGGCCGGTTGAATGAAACTTGACTGGTAGCCGGAGAAGACAACTCAAAGCAATATCATCAGGAAGACCAGGAAGCAGAGGATCAAAACACGAATCAGATTCCAGTAAATGATCTCTAACATCAGCCAACTTAAATTTAGGGGCTGATTTCATCTCCGAATCCCCTGATTTCTGCACCGGTGGTTGGTGTGACGACATGCGAACCCTTTGCATCTCGAAAATGAAATCAATTCTTTGTAGTTAAGTTGCTACAGGTCTTAAATTTTCTCGATCAAGATCGAGTAAACCCCTAAAATTTCACAGTACCGAATTCAGAGATCAAAGAAAAGCTTCATTTCAAAGTCATGATACAAGAACAGAGAAAAATTTCAGCCATAGATTCAGAGGAAAGATGTCAAGAAAAAAGAAAAAACATATGAACTTACAGATTGAATGAAAGGATTGAACGTTGAAGGTGAAGAATTGTGGTGGTAGGGTGGTGGTGTTGGTGTTATATGGGTGGTGGATGGTGGTGAGGTGGGGGTGTAGAGTTTAGACGGAAGAGGAAAGAATGGACGGTTGATGCGTGTCAAATAAATGCCGACCCACCCGTGCAAACACGAGTGCCGAGGAGTATAGTAGGCTTAGGCTGGCTACACTTTACTCCGCTATTTATTCTACTTTTAACTTTACGATGCATACATTAACATTACTACTCATTATACCACTAGTAGGCTTAGGTCCACTACTATTTTGTGGTGTCAATTGTTTTCAAGCAACTCCTATTAATAATACTCTTTGCTTCGGTTTTACTTAATCATAAATAATGCCACGAACTAATAATCAATTTCAGATTTATTTCAATTAAGTATCTTAATAATGCCACGAACTAATAATCAATTTCAGATTTATTTCAATTAAGTATCTTAAATTTTATTTAATGAGGTCTAACATTTTTATATAAAAAAAAATATTAAAAAAAATATGAAATTATAGAGAAAATATCATAAAAATCACTAAGTTTATACCAAAATTTTAATTTGATATTGTATTTTTTTTAATCTCAAATTTGATACTATATTTTTTAATTTGTTATAGTTTTGACCACATGACCAGACAATCTGATTGTCTGCTGATGTGTCGGTTTTGATAATGTGATATACTAACGTGTCAAAATTGAAATATTTTCCACAAAAAATACTACGTTTTCAATTTTTTCAATTTTAACATTAAGTTTTATTTTATTTTATATTTTTTTTCAATTTTGACACTGTATTTTTTTGTTTCAAATCGAACATCATTTTTTTCAATTTTGTTCAATGTTAATCATTTTCAATTTGAAACCATATAAATATTTTTTTTATTACATTTTTAAACCGTATAAATACATTTTTTTCATTTAAAAACCATATTTTTGTATAAATACAAGGTTTTTTTAAATTCAAACCATCATGTTATGTATAAATGTGTATGAGTTATATAAAAGTTATATTCTAGTTATCTATTAGTTCTTCATTTTCAAAGAAAAATTGTGCTTGACTTTATATATAAATTTAGGATTTTGCTAAAAAAAATCCCTTAATGACAGGACATGTGTTTGTGGGCATATGTATAATCCATACATATATGTCACATCATTAATAATTCAAGATCCTTTAAATTTAACATATATTATAATAGTTTATTTCTACGGATCTCTAATTAAAAGAATATAAGATAATTAATTCATATCATGAGAACCAAACTAACCATAAGGATCGAACAAGAATAACAAAATTTTATCAATTATCGCTTATGAAATATTATTTATTTTATTTTTTTTGTTATAGATTTTACATATATTTTCATTTACCATTAAATAATTGGGAAAATGTCACTAGTAGATTTTACATATATTTTTTTGACAAAACTTCAAAAATGGTCCCTGTGGTTTTCGAAAATATCAAGTTTAATCCCTAAGTTCAAAAAACCTTACAGATGGTCCCTGTGGTTTCAAAACTTTTAACAAATGGTCCTTTTCGCTAACTCCGTTAGTTTTTGGCCGTTAAGTGAAGGGTATTTCTGTCATTTCACTGCCACAGGGACCATTTATGAAGATTTGCCTTATTTTTTTAAAAAAATAATTATTATTATTTAATATTAAAGGGTCTCTCTCTCTCTCTCTCTCTCTCCTAAAAAAGAAGCTACAACAATGGAAGCTGCAACAGTCATGTTACCAAACCTCACTCATTCAAATCCCCGAAATCTCTCGAATCACTCCATAGATCTCACACCCAACTCTACCATCTATGATTCTTAATGAAATTTCCAATTCACAACATCTGGGTTCAACTTTTTCTACTCATCGTCTTCCCCATACACACCCACAAATAAGAAAAACCCAAAATCGAAAACTCCATATTTGTCCACCGAATCACATCCTAAGAAACCGGTCTCGACCAATGAAGAAGCACTACTAGGGACGATCCAAAATTGCAAAACCGGAATCCCACAAGGTAAGCATCGAAACCCAAAAAAATTGAAGATGTAATTTGGCAAATAGGGCATGAAGCCGCCTGTGAGAAGCATGAAGATGGTGGCTAAGAGAACCAAGAAGGTGACCGGGGTTGGGAATAAAGTGACAAAAGAAGGGTTTGTACATAAACAAGAAACAAATCTGTCTACTCATTCTCCTGCAATCGATTCAAAGTACAAGGATGGGGTTAGGCTGAGTTCACAGAGCTTACCAAGAGTGGGGGAGGAGGGGGAACTCGGTGGCGTGCGGCAGGGGGCTGCTCCGACGGCCTTCTGCTGCTTCTCTTCTGTTTTAATTGGAAGGAGATACGAGTGGGGGAGGAGGGGGAACTCGGTGGTGGTCAGAATCAACAGTGGCGGTGGTTGTAGGTGGCTTTCTCTCCGGTGAAGGTGTTGGATGGCGGTTTTCGGCCTTTCTTGCAACAGAAATGGTGGTGGTGGTTGATTATCTGAATAGGAGAGAGACGGAGGGGGTTACTGGTCAATAAGAGTGGCAGATGGTGGTGATTCACGGTAGTTAAAGCCACCGGTGTTGGTTCTTTAATGGAGGCAGCGATGTCTTTTGACCACCCTTCGTGGTGGTGTCGTTTCTTGACAGTAGGTTCATGAGAAGGAGAGAAAAAGGAGGTGAGGTGGTGATGTTTGATCGAATCAATGGTGGGGAGGTGGTATTTCATGGGTCGTCCTGGGTTAATGCTCTAATTAATTATGCAAGATCTCATTTGACCAGGAAGAAAGAAGAGTTATCATTTTTCTGCATTTAGGGTATTGACTTTCAAGGAGAGAGAGAGAGAGAGAGAGAGAGAGAGAGAGAGAGAGAGAGAGAGAGAGAGAGAAAGAGAGAGGGAGAGAGAGAGAGAGAGAGAGAGAGGTGGGACCCTTTAATATTAAATAATTAGTTTTTTTTAAATAAGACAAATCTTCATAAATGGTCCCTGTGGCAGTGAAATGACAGAAATGTCCTTCACTTAACGGCCAAAAACTAACGGAGTTAGCGAAAAGGACCATTTGTTAAAAGTTTTGAAACCACAGGGACTATCTGTGAGGTTTTTTGAACTTAGGGATTAAACTTGATATTTTCGAAAACCACAGGGACCATTTTTGAAGTTTTGTCTATTTTTTTTACAATTTCACATTTCTCAAACCTAAGTTTATAAGTTGTTCAAAACACAAGTCAATAAAAATGTATGTCAATATCCCAGAATCCTCAAAACATAATCTCTAGCTGGTGTGTACAATCATGTTGGCGCCTTCCCGCGATCCTGAGAGGTACCTGAAACACATTTCCCACAACACTATAAGCACGAAGCTTAGTGAGTTCCCCAAAATATCACACACAAATAATTAGCCTCTCATGACTATATCTCGATAAGGACCCTCCGGTCATGTGTCTCAGTGAAGACCCTCCGGTCTCACAGCTCGGGTCGGACCCTCTAGTCCGGTATCTCAGTGAAGACCCTCCGGTCTCACAACTCGGTTTGGACCCTCCGGTTCTAACTCAATAAGGCATAGAAATAATATACAACATAAATCACAAACACAAAATGCATGATATCACATAACGTAACATCCATAAAAATCATGCCAAATTTAAACTTTTTAAAACATTTCAAAACCAATTATTATTACAAAACTTGTTTTCAAAATAGTTCAATGTCAGAGTTTCCCAGAATCAAATCATAAAACATAAGGAGGTGCACGATCACGCCTTCGCCTTCTCGCGATCATCAGAAGTACCTGAAACAATAATCGATAAATTTAAGCTCGAAGGCTTAGTGAGTTACCCCCAAAATACCAACGCCAAACGATCATAATCATAACATATAAACAAACACAGCATGCATAATGAGTCATCAGTCTGACTGGACCGCTCGCACCAGGCCGTCAGTCTATCTGGACCGCTCTCCAAGCCTTTGGCACGTCTGGACCGCCTCTCAGGGCCTTCAGCCTATCCGAACCGCTCGCCGGGCCTTCGGCCTAACTATATGCCCTCCCGGGTCTGCAGTCTACCCGGTTCCCCTTGGGTATCTTGGCCTACAGCACAAAGCAGGACCTGCCTCAACCCAATCCCCCAAACCAACAAACATGTGCACATAAATATCATACGCTAGCATGCAAGTACAGATAGTCATACAGATCTAACGGATCACTAACATGGCAACCATCCTATAACCAGGATACCGATCTAACCGATCAATAACATAGCAACCATCCTATAACCAGTATACCGATCTAACATATCTCTAACATAACAACCATCTTATAACCATGATACCGACTGATGATATATGGTCCATTAGCATGGCCTAGACCGCTCTAGAGCGCCAGCCTAGCCTGGCACGCTCCTGCGAGCCCTGTCTGGCGTTCATTTGCCAGCCTTGCCTGGCGCTCCCTTGCCAGCCGTGCTGGGGACTCTCCTGCCGGCCCGGCCCGGTGCTCCCTCGCCTGGCGCTCCCCTGCCAGCCGTTCCTGGTGCGCGCCCGCCAGCCTCGCCCGACGCCTCCGGGCGGCCTTACCCAGCTCCTTGCTAGTTGGGCCTGAATTGGGCTGGCCCAAGGCCTGACCTAATTCCCCTTGACCTAGTTGTCCCCTATAAATAGAATAGTGCCTCCTACATGAAGGGGGACCCTTTTCCCTAAGACCTTTCCCTTAGGATCTCCCCCTTGGCTCAGCCGCCACACTATACTCCGGCCGGGTGGCTCAGCCGCCACCCGCCGCCGTCAGCCACCATACACCACCACCAGCACCAAGATGGTTCTCTCTAGCTAAAGAGAGACATATCAGATCTACCAGATGATCTAACTTGACCGTCGGAGCCCGCTCCCGGGGCACAGTCCCTGGGACGGCTCTAACGGCCTTATCTGTTGTGACCTCGCAGATCCGTCTCCGGCGTAGAAGCACATCCTCAGAGCAGGTGGTCGGAGCCGATGTCGCATCATTTGGCGCCATCCCGGACTCGAACGAGCAGAAATCATTTCGTTCTTGTCTAGATTTGCTCAGATCTGTTGTTTCAGCTAAGGTTTTCCTCAGATCTGTTCATTTCTAGCACCATTTGGTTCAGATCCGTTTGGCTTTGTCCAAGATTTGTTCAGATCGATTTGGTTCTGGACAAGATCTTTTCAGATCTGTCTAACCATCGTTCAGATCACTCTTGATCTGCTTAGTTTTATCGCACAGATCTTTTGATTTGCTTGTTTTTTCGCTCAGATCTTTTGATCTGTTTGAGTTTTCTCGCTTAGATCTTCAGACCTGCCTTGTGTTTTGCTCAGATGTCTAGATATGTTTTGTTTTAGTTCATCTGAGCAACTCTCAAGTCTTAAAAGACTTTATCAGATCTCATTTTCGTCTATGTTTTAATGTGTTCTTCAGCAAGTAGTAAAGAAAGAATCTCTTATGAGTTCTTAACCCATTTTCGTTTCTATTTTGGTGTTTTATCAAGCAACATGAGAAGAAATGGAATTTTCATGGTGTTTTACCTCATCTCCAGTTGTTTTCCTAAAAGAAATCGTCTTTGGTTTATGATTTTCTTGGCAAAACACTGTTGAAGCAGTCTATTTAGTGTTTCCTTCAAGGCTTACAGAAGGAAAACGAATTTTTTCAAATCTGTAGATTTGCTCTTGTTTTCGTTCATTCAAACATCTTTCAAGCTTACACAAAACCCTATCATATCCGTTTTTAAGTTACATCTTGGGGTTTTCTTCAGCAAGTTTGAAGAGAAAAATTTTGTGGCTATTTATCTTATCTCCAGCTGTTTTTTATCGGAGAAAGCACCTTTAGTTTGCAATTTTGTGTGTACAACTTCTTTCAAGTTGTTTATTTCGTGTTTCCTTCAGGAGTTTTGAGATGGAAGATGAATTTCTCAGATCTGTGTTTTGGCTTGCTGAGCAAGCTGAAAATTGAAAAAATAGGGGGGTTTACAAGAAGAAATCCTCTCAAATTTGTTTTTATATATATTCTTGTGTTTGTTCAGCAAGTCTGAGAAGAAGAGAAGTTTTTACCTCATTTTTAGTTTATATGTTAAAGAAAAACGATTTTTATCTAGATTTTATGCATAGCACTTCAATCTTTGAAACATTTATTTGTACATACAGTTGTATAACCTGTACATTTTACAAAACTTTTCAGAAAAAGAAAAGAGAGAGAAGAGGTTCTTTATGGGTTTTATCCAACTTTTAGTTTATATATTTTCAAAAAATCTCATTCAGTTCATGATCTTTTGTATATAAGTTTCTTCAAGTTATTTAGAAGCTTGAAGAAAGAAATAAGTTATTTATGAGCTTTCTCAAATTTTCAGAAAACCCATTTCAGTATGAGCTTTCTCAAGTTGTTTATATTTCCATCTGAATATGAGTTTTTACCATCCATTTCAGTTTATATTATGGAAAATTCATCTTAGTAATGATTTGTGGGTGCAAGTGTGTTTAAGTTGTACACACAGCTGTGGTATTTATACATTCCAAACCCATCATATTTTTGTCCCACCACTTTAGTCTTACTTTTATAATTTACCATTTAACAAATTATAAAAAAGTGGTGAGACATGTTTCTTTTGAAATAACTAAACAAAAAAAAAAAGGAGGGAGTGGATATTAACAAAAAAATCTTTTTTGCTGAATATTTTTGTATGTTTTTCATACATGTTTTATTTATTTTTAACCCATCTCAAAATTACCCCTACACTTTAGTTACCATTACAGCAAATGGTTTAAAGAAAAAAAAAAGAGACAGAAAACGACTTGTACAAGAGCAAAAGAACAATAACAGCATACACACAAAGGAAAATCTTTACAGCATACAAAAACGAGCTGTCACTCCTAAGTTTGTATAAGCCTACAAAGGACAAAAAGGAAAAAAGAGAGGGGTATGGGTGTACAGTCTACACCATAAAATTCAAAGAAGCAAAACTAGCAAACAAGCCAAAGCGGGCCCCACACGTCTCAAAGAGTATACAAGCCGACAGAAAGTCAACAGAGGAATGGGGTCCCACCTTGGTCCTCTCCATCCCAGGAACATGGCATCCCCGGATAAGCCAAACGTTGACCTCCTTCAAACCT